AAAAATAAAATAAAATAGACAGTTCTATTATTTCTAAATTACCTATCTGTGATAGTATTTTTCACAGGAAAAAGAAAACAGAGCCAAGTTTAAGTGTCTCTTAAAAAATAAGTCCTATTTACGCTTTTAGTAAATATTATGATTCACAACTAATTTATTATTTATATGTCAAAAGCTATTATACTACAAAGCAATGTTTGACATTCATTTGCTGGCCTTTACAGCAAACAAATGAAACACTATTTTCCCTTAAACAAACCGGCTTGGCAAACTTCCTTTTTTTCAGTCACATAAGATATGAAGAACTTTAAACCTTGTAATAGATTACCAAATTTTAAACTATTAGACCACAGAATCATATTATTACTTTTTAAAATTCTGTATGTACATAAAATACAATCAACAATTAATTTGAATTACCACAAACTTTTAGCAAGAGAATTATAATTCACACAACCCGCCAAAGATGGCAGCCTACCTATAAAAATACTTCTGTGCCCTCAGCATCTCTAATCTACATTTGCCCAAATGATTTCCAGTGATGATTTCTGTTTATAAAATGCTTTAGAGTGTATAAGGCATTTTTAACATGTTGTTTTTAGCAAGACATTTTATTGTGTTGACATGGTTATAAAGATACATACTAGGCTCTTGAATTAAAGTTCTAATTTCCCCATATTGATTCTAGAGGTAGTGTACACTTAGAACACAAATAAGTTTACATGGATTATTATTTCCTCTATTTTACCAAGGCATATGCACCTAATATACTGGAAATCCTAATCAAGTTCTGAGCCGAACTAGAATTTCATGCTGTTTTTGGACACTAAAAATTAATCAGTTTAGGGCCGACCAAGTGGCACNAAAAAAACTATGCCCAATACTATGGCACCCATTCCCTGCCCCACCCTATCTCTACCCATCTTCCTCCCCACATGTTCTTATACAATTTTCACACCTCCCTTCAAATACTGTTGAACAGAGAGGTAAACTAGGTTCACATTTACTTTCAAAGGTTTATTGGAACTTTGAACAGAATATTCTTCAAAAAAAAAACAAATGATATATCTGTGTTATCACTCCCTAGAAATACTACTTGCTACTTCCAGAACTAACAGAATCACAGAATCTTACAGTTGAAAGGAACCTTGAAGCCATCTAATCCAACCCCCCTAAATGTAAATATATGGAAATCTAAGCCTTGACAGATCATGTGCCTTCTCCAGGTTTACATGGCACATTAGCAGCGCAATCAAAATTAGACACCAGGTCTCCTGATTCCCAGCCTACCTTACTGCCTAACAATTATCAACTTGTTTCCTAATCTAAATTACTTCTGGAAACCACAGTCAAAAGTAAGTGCTCAATCAGGCAAAAACAAACTCCTATAAACTTCTGAGGGGACGAAAGCTCAGAAATCCAAACTCTAAAACTTAAGACTCAGAGAATCATCCTTATTAGGGGAGGAAATGAATGAAATTATTTGAGAAGCCCATGTCAATAAACAAACAAACAAATCTTCTAAAAGGTATTTTTGGCTTTACCTTGTGTCTGGTTAGAAATTAATGACTGAAGTGCAAGGGCAGCTTCAACTTTGACAGGCATCTCCTTATCTTCAATCAGGCTCTTCTTTGCTAGTTCAACAGCATTTCTTAGATTGAGCTCATTATGGAACTTCAAAGAACTGAATACATGAAGTACCCAACAGGACTATGTTATAAGGAGAAAGTAAGTAGGGAACTATTAGGATTATGGCATTCTGTAATAATGTCATGCATATGAGAACTTCTTATTAAGTGAAATATCATTAATTCTACCCAGTACTATTTGTTTTTAGAAGTAGCATATTAACTTTAGTTGCTAACTTCTGGATTTCCCAGTCTTTTTATTAAAATAGACAGTTCTAGGGCCGGCCGAGTGGCGCGATGGTTAAGAACTGGCTTGGGATGCCAGAGGACCCCGGTTCGGATCCCACATATGAGGGCCAGTGACACTGCCCT